GCTGGCAGAGCAGAGTCCTGCGGGAAGCCTGGGGCAGCGGGGATGTCACGGCCCCTCCAAAAGCAGGTGAGGCCCTGAGGTGGGGGCAGGGCATGTGGGGAGCCCCCGTGTCTGACAGGCCGCACCCGCCCTGCATCCCTGCCACTTCTGTCCCCCGTATCAAGACACGGTGGCTGACACGGTGGCTGGGAGGTCAGAGGGCAGTGGGGGTGGAGTTTGCGGTGTGGACTCTGCCACACACGCTCAGGAGCAAGAAGACCGCCCACACTGGCTGCTGGTCTGGGCCATGATGCCCCGTGGGGGTCCTGCCCCCTGGGAGGGGCTGCCGAGGCCTGACCTGGGGGTGGGGGGCAGGCGAGGTCTCCTGAGCAGGGTTTTGGGCCGGCACCTGGCGGCTGTCGAGGGGTGTGGTGGTCTGCAGCGAGAGGGGGCGCAGCCCTGTCTCCCAGAGGGGAGAGACCCTAGAAAGCTGTGTGGCGTGCCAGGGAGGGTGCAGGGGTGCCCAGACCCGCAGTCGCAGGCTGCCGTGGAGGGCAGGCTAAGAGCCACCGCAGGCGGGCCTTGGCTGCTGGCAGGACGGTGGCCCGGCCTCCTCCTCCCTGGCCCTCTGCTGGGAGCACCCCCAAACAGGCCTCCTCTTGCTCCTGAGCAGCCCAGGGGGCCCAGTGGTCTCTGAATCACCTGCGGCTCCCAGAGGCCGGGTCGTTGAGGGTGCCCAGCCCGTGCTCAGCAGCCTGGCACCCTGGGACTCCGGCAAGACGTGGGCCTGGAAGCAGCCCGGGCCACCCCCGTCTCAGGGAGCTTGGTGCCCAGCGGTGGGATTTCCGGAGTGGCTGGTCACCTCCTGTCCCAAATCAGGAAGCAAAGTCAGATCCGCCCAACATCCAAGGACGCAAGACCCCCTGCTCAGGATGAGTGCAGCTGCCCTCGGCCCCAGGAGTGGGGCCGGGAGAGCAGGAGGATGCGGAGCCCTGAGGGGGAGCACGGGCCAGGGCCCGGGAGGGGCCAGCCTGCAGCTTCTCCCTCCTGCCGGGGCGCAGCAGGCCCATTCTTCCCCACTGCTCCAGCAGGCCTCACGGCCTCGCCCCCGGCTGAGCTTCCTGCCCTTCAGAGGGACCGTGACCCGGGCTCAGACCATCGCCTGGGGTCACGGTGCCCTCGAAGCCCACCCAGACCAGCCCCGCCCTCGGCTTCCTGGAGGCCCTGAGAGGTGCGGTCCGAGCACAGCCTCCGGAGCGGCCTCGTGCCACGGATGCTCTGAGAGGTGGTCCCGATGACTGTGTCCTCCGACCCCATGCGGAGCACAGGCTGCCTGCGCTTGCCAGCAGAGTGACGGGGCCAGGCAGGCCCCTGTGTCCCAGGGAAGCTGCGGTGACCCCTCCCCCATTCCAGTCTGCATCACTCCACACGTCTGTCCCTCCTGTCCTCTCGTCCCCAAATCTGAGCCCCACTGCTCCACATCCCGGCCGCTTCAGTCTACTCCCCGTAAGGGAGCCAGGGTGGTCTTTGTAAATGCAGTGTCATCCTGCCCTCCGTACGCACCCACTGCTCTCAGGGTAGATTTGGAGCTCTGCTGACCTGTGTGGTCCCCCCATCTCCTCTTGTGGGCTTGCCCCTCCCCACCCCATCCCCTCTGGGGTTGGCCTTATTGCCTCTGACCCTAGGACATTTGCATGTGCTGCTTCTGCTGCTGGGAGCACCATCCCTTGCTGGTGAGAATTTGTTCTCATTTCTCAGCTTTCACGACCTTGGGGGCCCCCAGGCCACCTGGGCAGAGTCCCCACCTGTGTGCCCTCTACTTCCCTGCCTTCCCTGCAGGCCCCATCCTTGGCCCGTGAATGCGAGCTGGTCTCGTTGCTCTGGGTGTCTGGACAGGAGGGCAGCTGTCCGCTGGTTTGGGTGCATGCTGGGCACCAACGCAGGCAGCCCTGCGCCAGGCGTGCGGGTTCGGGCCGTGGAGAAGGAGAGGCCAGGCCACTCTGGGCCCTGGGGTGTGGGGGCTCCTCAAGGGGCTTGGGTGGCTCCGTCTGAGAAGTCCTCTGAGGGGCCTGTGGCTGGGCCGAGGGTCGGCGTGTACACACCAAGGCCACGCGTGGGGAAAAGCGCAGCTTCCTTCAGTTCCTACATCTGATGCTGCCTCGTCCCAGGCGCCGATCCCAGGATGGAAGGGAAAGTGTAATCGGTCTCCTCCCATTTAGAGGCTGTTATCCCGGTCCGCTTGGGCTGGTGTGAGAAAATAGCACAGACTGGGGAGCTTCAATAGCGGGAATTTATTTCTCCTGTTTCTGGAGACCGGGAATCCCGAGATCAGGGTGCCAGCCGACTCGGTTCCCGGTGAGCGCCCTCCTCCTGGTCGCAGACGGCCACCCGCTCACTGCGTCTTCTTCACCTGGCAGACAGAGGAGGCCAGCCCTCTGGCATCCCTTCCCGTGAGGACACTGGTCCCATCATGAGGGCCCCACCCTCATGCACGCCTCCATCCCTGAGAACCTCCCCAAGGCCCCGTCTCCAGGCTGAGGACCGCTGCGTTATTAGGGCCTTGTCCTCTCTGCAGTGGCCATGCCAGCAGACCTGCCCCCCTCTCCTGCAGGCCAGCCCCCCTCTCCTGCAGGCCTGCCCCCCTCTCCTGCAGACCTGCCCCCCTCTCCTGCAGGCCTGCCCCCCTCTCCTGCAGACCTGCCCCCCTCTCCTGCAGGCCAGCCCCCAGCCATCCCGCCCACAGGTCCCCAAGGTGCAGGGCCCCCAGCACCTGCGCACCGGCCTGCTCTTGCTGCAGCCTGCTGTGCTACGCCTGGGCTCTCTGAAGCCACCCTGCTGGGACGAACCTGTCCCCTCCCAGGTCCCAGGCAGCAGCTCCGGGCTCAACCCCTTCGCTTTTCCTTCCCTCCCAGTGTCAGGCTGTTTTGTGCACTCCCTGCCCTGCCCCACTCCCCCTTGAGGTGTGACCCTGGGGGTTGGTGGTAGGTGGAGAGAAGCTTGGCCGGTCGCCCTGGCCTGTCTCCTCTTCCTGGGCCCCTCCCTCAGTCAGGGTCTTCGTTTCTACGCCACGACGTTCAGTGGAACTCCTGGCCAGGCTCTGCTTGTGATAGATGACGCAATACTTCGGAGAAGGAAAGACTCTTCTCTCGTAAGAAAAACTGGCTTTTAAGGCTATTGCCTCAGCATGGACTGAAAAACCTAGTCTGACCTCAGAGCTGGGCGAGGCCATCTGTGGTTTGTGGGTGTGCACCCCCAGGACCTGGCGGGAGCTGCAGGGCGCGATGGCTCGCAGCGGTGCAGGCAGCCTGCTTCGGCGTCTCGCGGGCATCGTTGCGTGGCACACGTGCAAATCGCATCCTCACAACAGCTTCGCGAGGGGGGGACTGTCGTCCTTATTTTACAGAGACCTGGGTGCCCTCCCCGGGAGCTCTACTTCGTCAGCACGGCCTCCAGGACGGCCCTGGGCCCCAGGGTCCACCCTCCCCAGGCTCGTACCAAGCCCGCAGCAGGAATCACGGGGACTGTGCACACTGCCGTGGGTGCGTCAGCCACGCCTCCTTACGGGAAAGCCGGGTGGGGGAAGCAGAGTCGATTTGCAGCCCGGAGTTCCTGGGGCTGGATGGTGGCTCCAGCGGGGGCCCAGGTGCCTGCCAGCTCTGTCCTCTGAGGGTGGTGTCTTCTGCACAGTGGCGGCGACAGCAGTCCCCAGGCTCCTTGTCTGGCCTGCCCGTGTGCCCGTCCATCCCGTCCATCATGATCTGATTTCCCTGGTTAACTGTCAGTTTTCCTGAGGTGACTCCCCACTGTTTGCAGGTGGCGATGACTGTCGCTCAGCTGCAGACTGTAAAGCCTGCAGGGCGGGGAGCCCAGGCGCCGGCCCGACGCGAGCGTGGGCCCCGGCAGCGCCGCGTGGCCGAGCCTGGTCGGCGGCCCCCGGGCAGGTTCGCGTGCAGGGAGGGGCGTGTGGCCAGCGCGTGCCTGTCCTCTCAGCGACGGGGGTGCATGGGAACCTTTCGGCGGGTATCTCCCGAGCACCTGCCACGCGCTGCTGTGCCCTGGGTGCCGGGCACGCGGGCGGGGAAGTGCAGGGCACGGTGCAGGCGGTTTGGGGGACGCGGAGAGCTTGGGAGCGGCAGCCGCGGTGTCTGCTAAGGGGCAGATCTGGCCCGGGAGGCCCTTCTGGGAGGACGCGACTGCTAAGCCGGCCTCAAGGAGGAGCGGGGCTTGGTCGCCCAGCGAAGGAGGGGCTGTGAGGAGCTGTCCGGGGGGTCCCTGTCAGTTGGGGGGAGCCCGGGTTAACCCCGCCCGTGTCTGGAAGGCCACGTGGCTCACCCCCATTTCTGTGCCACGGACCCACCCTCTCGACAGCGAGGGAAGCCCGGGGCACCTGCTCAGAATGTTTTTAAATGCAAAAAAGACACGTGTGTGAACCAAATAGTGATGAAATGCAGAGGAGGCACGCGTGAGCCCACTGTCACAGCGGAACCGGGGACGTACATTCGTGATGTGGCGATACCTGCTCTTTATTAGCACGTCAGAAACCCAGGCCGGTGGTGGCTCTACAAGGGCCCCATTTCCAAGCAGTGACGCACACGAGGGACCCTCCGCCATCAGTAGTAACAACCGTGGAGCGGTTCTGCCAGGGCCGGGCCCAGGGTTGCCCGTGCCGCTGGGGTCTGCTGCCCACATTCGTCCTCGAAGCAAAGGCCCCGTTAGCGGGTACAGTTGAGACAGGGCCGGTTTTCCTGTCCTCGTTTGGGCTTCTGGTGAAGAACCCCCAGGCCCGGGCTGGGGTTGCTCAGCAGGGGCGGCCGGAGCCCGGCAGGTCGCGGCTGCTTTGGGGGGACGTCGTGGAGGGAAACGGGGGACCAAGCCGTGGCCAGAGGTGACGGTGAGGCTGGGTGTGCACCGCGGGGAGAGAGTGGGCTGGGGGCCCGCTGGCTGGCAGAGGTTCCGTCCGCGAAGCCAGAGCTGGTCCTGGGCCTGTGGCTCCCACTGACGCCTCCCCAATTGCTTTGCAGGTCAACGAAATCTATCACGACGAGTCCTTGGGGGCCCACATCAACGTCGTCCTGGTGCGCATCGTCCTGCTGAGCCACGGGAAGGTCAGTGAGCACCGTGGCCCGGCTGGGCCTGCCAGGCACGCCAGAGCCTGCACCCACTCAGAACGAATGGGCCCTCCTCAGAGAGCGTCTGCGCTCGCCAAGGCCACGCGGCCTCTCCCCGGCCGCCCTGGGGCTCCTGCAGGAAACGAGAAATGTGGGAGCTGCCCCGAGGTCCCCTCTCCCTTTTGCCTTGACCCCTGGATTTAAAAACGTAGCTTTTAGGCGTGCTGTGCCACGGGAGGCCGCGGCACGAGCCCCAGGGTCGCTCAGGAGGCAGAGGGAGTGGGGAACGTGGGCAGGAGGGGCCTTCGTGCAGGAAGGACTAGGGGAGGAAGGGTAAGCTGGCTTGAGACTGGCCGGTTTGAATAGTTTCAGTGGGCTCTGGGGCCCGGGGCTGTCCCGGGTTGTCTGTTACACGGCCCTGGGGTAATTGGGGCAGGTGGAGAGTAACCCAGAGTCTAGAGGCTGGTGAAGGAAGTGGCTGAGGCTGTGGGCTCTGGATTGGCCGGTTGGTATTGGAAAAGCGTACCGGGGACAAGTGCCAGACTGTCGTTAGGAACTGGCTAGCACTAGGAGGGGCAGTCCCTCCAGGCTCGGCAGGGCCCCGGATGTCAAAGGATCAGGACTATATGGCTAATACCCCTCTTCCTTCGATGCCTGCCCACACCTTAAATCCGTGCCCTCCTCTCCTAGGCCTCAGAGCTTCTGCCCCAGCTGGGCCCTCTCACCCTCCCTACTCTCCTCTTGCTGTCAAACTTGGGACCCTGTTTCCTAGCATGTGCGTGGGTGTATGTGTGGGTCCGGGGACAATGACCTGGGATGGAAAAAGTGGATGCCGTATAGAGAGAGATCGTGAGGAAGGAGGAGCCCCATGGTTCGGCCAGTGTAGGCTTCTCAAGTGCCTGCACCAGGCATGTTGGAAGCACTTTGCATGGTTAACGCACCGAATCCACAGGGTAGATGGGGAGGTACGTGCTGTGATGGTCCCCATTTCACAGATAAGAACGTCAAGGCTTAATGTGATTCAGTGACGTGCCCAGGTAAGTGGCCGGTGCCTTTTGGTTCCTGAGGAGTCAGGCTTCTCACCCACGCATCCGAAACTAGAGTCTGTGTTCTGACTACACTCATCGTGTAGAAAATCAAACTGTAGTAAGATCAAACACAGCAGATGTGGTAATTACACAAAAGGTTAAACTCCTCTGTTCAAAGACGGAGAATCTCAGTCTCAAAAATAAAATCAAACCACACACAACTTATAAGGCACTCGATGTGAAAAGACA